TGGATGCTTTTATTGTCTAGCCAGTTTCTAATGAAGTTGCCTCTCGTGTTGTTTATTTCGTTTTTCCAGCTTGTATGTTTTGCGTTAAGGTCTCCTGCTATTATATAGTAGTTTTCCGGTTTATTGAGCTGTAAGAGTTCGCAAAGTTTATTGAATTCGTCGCTAAATTCTTTCTGGTTTCCCAGGATTGCGTAGGCTACAGTGATAAACAAGTTTTCCTTATTGCTTATTTTTATGATCGTTGTTTCTAAGGTTTTGAAACTTGTTATTTTATCAATTAGAATTGTTTTGTATTTTATAGGGGTTTTTATGAGGATCGCTGTTCCTCCTCCTTGACTGGCGTTCGGTCTGTCGTGTCTTATCATGGAGTAGTTTTTGAAGTGTACATTGTGTCTTTTGTTTAGTTTTGTTTCTGAGATGAGTACCATATCGGGGGCTTCTTTATTTATTAGGGTTAGCATACTGTATCTTTTTTGGTTTGAGATTAAAGAGTTAGCATTTATTACAATTATTTTCAGATGTTTTAGGTTAAATTTATGTGTTTTTTGCTGTGATTGTTGGTTTGGCGTATTTTGGTTATTCGTCATTTGTGCTATTGAAAGTGCTGAAGATGGCGTCGAACCTTTCTTCGTGCGTTGATAGTGTATTTTTTATTTCGTTTAACTGCATTTGTTGTTCTTTTAGCGCTTGGAGAATGCCTTTTTAAAAGTCTTCAATAACGTTTATAATGTTTAGATGGGGGGAATTATCGATTGTGATTGGGCTTTGGCTTGAGCGCGGATCTAAGTTTGCTGATTGTGTTGTGTTTTCGGTTATTTGGTTTAGTTTTGTTTGTTGTTTCACTACGTCAGAGAACTTTAGTTGCGGCTTATTTCGGCAATTCGTTTTGTCTTTGCTTCTTTGTCTTTTTTGAGTTTATCGGCTAGCTTTTTACGAAGCTCTACGAGTTTGGGGCAACCTTTGTATGACGCGGGGTGTCCGTAGTTTTTGCAATTGACGCAGAATATTTTGTCTGTGGTTACTGCGTTTTCCCTTTTTATTTTGCAGTCGCCTGGACCATGGTGCTCACTGAATTTAACACAGCGGTAGTTTATGTTGCAGTTTTACGCTGTGTGGCCTAATCGCTGGCATTTGTGGCATTGAGTTAAGTCATCCTTTTTTTTTTACTATTTTTTCCCATTTTATTCTGAAGTAGTTAAAATGGTTTATTTTTAACAGGTTACTTATATTGCTGTCAGGGGATAATTGTATTATGTAAATTGGGAGCAATATATTGTTCTCCCTTGATCTTTTTGTCGTGAATCGTGTGACTTTTGAGAATTTTACGTCGTCTCGAATTTTACGAGTCTATCCTGGTGAGGGCTTGGGATAGGTAATGGTTCGTTATTGAAGTCATCCATCGTCTTACCGTACGTAAGGGACTTTTATTGTCACAATTAAGGATGTTACAAAGTAGCCGCGAACTCACGGCGGACACACGCACGCGACACTAGTGACAATGCTCTCAAGATCGATAACGAATCCATGGTCAATGGGAGGATAGATATCCTTGCTCTAACTCAAACGTGTACCACTCCCTGATCGTAAGGCGCTGCTCTCTTCGTCGATCAAATCTCAAGCAAGACTGAATCTTCGTCCCATGGACGCCACCGAGACAAACTCTGGTGGGGTGTCTAAGTACACAAGATCCTTGGATCGACGTCGCTGTCGGTTGGTCGATTTGGGATAAAAGCTGCTTGTCCGTTTGCAAAAATCTTAATCGCCGAAAAAACTCTGGTTTTATAGCGGGCCCTCGGGCTAACTGGACTTGTGCCGTGTACGTGCCTCAACCTCAGGAATTCATTGTCCGAAGGAATCGTTGGCATGTTTTACTGTCAGGTACCTCTATGGGTAATTTCTTTAATGAGGGTCATAACACCGCTCCGCACCTTTGTTAGACGGAGCGCCCGTCCCCGTTAACCGCGGCTACGTTGGGCGGCAGGCTGTCGCCACGAGCCAAAGCTCACCGTCACTAATCCCGTATAATTACTATCGATTTGGATAACTGCGATTGTTTCATTACGGCTATAATAGGCTCTAGATTACAATGTTAGGGGGTTATCCTGAAGTTCTAGAGGGGCTCCGACGTCCTTTCGTCTCCGATGTATATATAGAAAATTAACAAAATTCTTTAATTTATTTATCAATCTCACGCTAAAAATTTTGTTCTCGATGTATTTATGTTGTCTTATTATTTTTTTTTTTTTTGCAAATCACTAATAAGAGGAAGTAATTTAATGAATAACTCAGAAGAATAAGTAAAATCATCGCTCTTATAATGATAATTCATTTATCATAATAAATGTGTGTATAAAACGTTTACAGATTTAATTTTTTATCTTTTGCATTGCTTCTTTTTTCTCAATGGGGATTGCCTTGAAATCCTCCCATGACATAAAGAACACCGTTACAACTATTCTTACTGGCAGCGTATTCCAAATCTAGCTTATATCTATTCAATGGGCAAATAGCCATGATTTTCTTTTTTTTCCCGTATTCGTTGTCACTTTAAAATATAATCGCTCATTATTATTGGCGTTAAGATTTCTTCCCAGATAATTGTCGAAGGTGACATTATTTTGAATAAATCTATGCAATGGCATTTGAATTTCAAGTAATATTAATCGTAGGTCTAAAAAAAAAAAATTGAAATTTCATTAAACATCGTGTTAGCCTAACCCGACGTCTAACATATACATACATAGAAAGTGTTCAACTACACATGTAAAAAAATTTAAGAGATGATTCTTGAAGCTAAAATAAGATGAAAATCCAGAATAAAAAAAATGCGTTTTCGGCTTCGTTTTCTATTGACCATTAAAAATTAGCCAAAATACCCCTGTGCGCGAGCAAACCTTCTTACATGAATGAAAGTAGGTCAGCCTAAGCTGCGGGGTGCACAGGGTTTCTCAAATCGGACGATACATGAGCTTCCCTCGTACAAGTCATAGAGAAGAAGATAATGGACATTCGAAGACATAAACCATCTTGTATGACGTTTTGTAAGAAAAATCGTAGATTAAACATTATACCTACCTACACGTTAAAATCCATAACAGGATGTCGAAAACCCCTTCATGGAACTTTCGAGTAAAGAAGATTAATGTTCCCTTCAATCTTTTGTCTCCATACATAATTAAATAATAGCATGTTGAGGAAAATATTAGATTGGTATGATCACTAGTTTCTACATGCAAAGTTGGTACGACTTCTAACGACGCTTTTTTGTTTTGGCGTCCGCCACGTGTTAATTATCAGAGAGTATCCGGTGTATTCATATGACTGTACATGATGGTGAAATATAGAAAGCTAAAATTGAATCGGTGTGAATCAATTAAATATCGAACTCCAAAACCTTTAATAATCACACACATATCTTGACGCATTAGTTGGGCATGCAAATAGGACGTGTATCGCGACAGGAGGAATGGTTTTGCATAAAATAAAACATTTTCTTGGATACGATGCCTCTGCATTATTAGTTTTAAAAAGCTCGTCTATCTTTGGGACAAAATGTGCACGTACTATTATATATAAAGTAAAGAAATCATTCAGTTTGGTAATAAGTGGCACTTTATTTAGCAGACTACGCCAATGCTGTCGAGTCACCGTTTTACGTTAATTGGGTTCGATATAATCGCCGTCGATTTCTATCACCGTAATCGATCAATAGCGACGCCGCCACGTAAAATTAAGGTTTAGGTTTTAAAGGCGTATGCCACGTAAAATTAAGGTTTAGGTTTTAAATACAAGAAGATTGAGCAGCAACTCCACTTTGTTTCTTTATTAAATAACACAAGTACAGTTTACGCGACTGATCAGAGAGATGTTGACTGATGAGAGTTAGTAGTTTCAGTGTCGAGGTGTTCTCGTATTATTACGAAGGAAAGCTCGGTGTCTCTTTGCACTAACAACGCGGATTCATTGTTTATATTTTTCGTTAGGAAAAGTGAGGGTAACGATCCGCGATGCCAATTGGTTATAGCGCACGTTAATAAATGAAGATAGGAGGAGGAAGCCTCCTAACCAACGTGGCTTTTCGTTAGCCAAATATTCGGTTTTCCCATTAGATAACTACTTGCTTCCTCCATAATTTGTAGGAACATAATTTGTATTAAAGCTAAGGACTGTTCAAAGACCATCCATAAATGAACTACAGGAATAAACTAAAAGTTTAAGTTTATAGTGGGTGCTTGAGGTTATTGAGGGTACGCGGTGATGGCCCGCACACATCTGGCCTCTAATGTCACAGTGGCTTGGTTTCTGATGTGAATCGACGTTACACGTGCGATGGTAGGAGAGATGGGATAGGATGAAAACGAAATTGTACTTTGCCTCTGGTCTCTCCAATAAGATGAGAGAGTAAACATAAGCAACACGTGATTTCTGCGACTGCGCAGTTGTTAGCTGCCGATTAGTGACACTCGATTGTCTCTCTCGTCTCTTTGAACAGACTATAGAACTGCATATAAATTACATATGCGTATATGTGTGGAACTTTCATGCCATGTGACATAACCACGAGAATAGAGTGGCAGTGGTGGTATAGATAATCGAATGGTCGCGACCACGATTACGGTCGTATATACAATAAGAAGTGGAGATTTTACTTGGAAGAAATGCGAGCTAAGTGTTGAGCTGCAGTTCTGCCCAAGCAGCCCGGGTAAATAGGCGTACAAAACAGTGCTTCTGACAAAGTGTAGTAAGTGGGGAAAAGAAAGTTACAAACGTCAACACCCATAGCCAAGTGTTGGAAAACCGTGTTTTCTACTAAGGAGGCTACTATCAAATCTAAAATGTAGGCTTATATTCCACCAATAAAAATATCAAGTAAAGGCGAAATATACTGCATAAAGAAAACAACAAATATTTTAAAACTAAGCCAATCAATAACAAAAAATCAAAAAAAAAAGAATGCTCGGCTACAAACGAAGTTGAAGTTGAAGTTGAAAGAAACCCATTCAAAACAATGAAGAGAATAAAAGCAGTAACGAACTAACCCACCAGGATGAAAGCTGAAAGGTAGCAAGTTACAACAAAAAAACGGGAAATAAAAGCAAACATAAACGGTGGGAAAACTATAGAAGCAGAAAAACAACAATTTTTTTCTTATTTAGTTATTTACATTCACAATTTGTCCGATTTGGACATTTGGTAGAATTTTTTGGCTGTTTGATTATCATGTGGGTGGCTACCCCAGCGGAGTACCATCTTCGTGCTTGTTAGGTTATATCCTGAATGAGATCTGCTTCTATGCTTGATGTGTTGATCGTTTCCGCTGCTAGCCGGTTTAGATGCGTTGCTATCCTTTCTCGGTACCTTCTTGCGCGTCTGCTAATTAAAAAGAAAAAAAGAAAACAACAACCAACACTGTTGGTAGCTGAAGCTGCGCGCAAGTAGTCAAGTAGACACAAATCAAAGAACTGCTTAAGGAATCTATCAAGAACACTGAAATGCTAATAAAAATGATAAGCGAACAAAACGCAGTTCTCAGACAGCAAACGCAACAGATCACAGTCATGTTACAACTTCCTACAAACATGCTAAGCAAAAAATAAAAACGGCTAAGCTAAAAAAAAAATAGCAGCCTAGAACTCAGACGGCCTACAATAACGGGTCTAAGAAACTAAAACATCCCTGTATAACAACAATATAGACATATTATTCCGGAAAGCAGTTCGCCCCAAAAAGCCATATGAAAATACCATACTACACCATATATGATACCAAATACCCCTCAGGAAAAGCACAATAAGAAATGATATATGAAACATCACTTACACAACCATGTAAGAAAGGAATATACCCAAGCAACCACCGTTACGCTACAAACTAGCAGCAACCACTTCCAGTTGTCAGCAGTATATGTGCCACCGCGACACAAAATGACAACACCAATGTGGAAGGAGTACTTTCAACACTTAGGTGACAAGTATATCGCAGCGGAAGACTATATTTCGAAGCACACACTATGGGGATCAAGTATTACTACATCTCGAGGTAGAACCTTGGAAAAATACATTAGAAATAATAACCTCAATATATCATCCACGGGAAGACCGATATACTGGGCGACAGATCTGAGCAAAATACCTGACCTGCTAGATTTTGCAGTTACAAAGGGACTAAGCGCAAATAAACTATACATAGCACCCAGCCTCGAGCTTACCTCTGACGTATGGTCATAATAATTACATACGGAAATAAACTTTTACAGCAGCACAGAGACGCTATGCAATAAAACCACTAAATGGCAAATATTCAAAGAAATAATAGAGAGCAAAGTCAGCTGCAACATCCCACTGAAAACACCTGAACACATCGATCAAGCAGTAACAACACTCACAGAAACTATCCAAGAAGCAACAAGGGCTATCCAAGAAGCAGCAAGGGTAACCACTATACTTGAATCAACCAATAGACAAACAGAAATAATTCCGCCAGACATCCTCGAAAAAATTAGAGAAAAAAGAAAAGCGAAAGCAAAATGGCAAGAACATAGAAGAAAAGAAAACAAAAACACCTAAACAAACTTGCAAAGGGAATAAAAAGCAAAATAGAAGAACACAACAACAACGAGTTCACAAAGTTCATTGAATCACTACCTGCACACGAGAACTACAACTACTCCCTATGGAAAGCCACAAAAAAAGTAAAGAAGACAATAAAACTGGTCCCAGCAATCAGAAGAGCAGATAACACATGGCCAAGAAGCAACGAAGAGCAAGCTGAAGAATTTTCCAACCACCTTTGCAACACATTTACACCACATAATATCAATAACAGCAACCACAATAGTCATACGGACGAGAATACGCTAACCACTAGTACATCAACTGTTGCGCTAACCACTAATACATCAACTGACAAACACTATACCATAGCTAAAACAACAGTACAAGAAATTAGAAACATAATCAAGAAAACAAAAAATAATAAAGCACCAGGAATCGACCTAATCAATGGCAAAATCTTGAGAAATCTTTCGCCAAAAGCGATAAAGGTTAATGACGATAATATTCAATGAAATACTAAGAATCCAATACTTTCCTAAACTATGGAAACTGGCACAGATCATAATGTTACCTAAACCAGGCAAAGACACACATCGAACTACATCTTACAGACCAATATCGCTACTTCCTGTGTTGTCCAAAATACTAGAGAAAATAATATACGACCGCATAAAACCAATAATAGGTAATGATTTTAATCAGAAAAAGCTCACTGTAACATTGTAACATTGACAAAACTTTTGCTCGACAAATATTAAAAATAATATTAACATTGTCTTACCTTACACTACTCACCTGTCGAGTTTCGCGTTATGTTAAAGAGAGCACTAAGACCAGGGCCTCTTGAGGGAAACTCCTCCATCAGTGAGCGATGATTTTCATGTAATTAGGAGGACCATCGTGACCGGCAAGTATCATAGCATTACTGTAAATGTAATCCATCTACGTTACTCATTGTTACGTCGCGTGATTGGAACCGTGTGACGTCCCTCGGTATTGGGTCGCTAAGGGTCCGCTGACCGTTATGTACACCCTCAACAAACCTAAGGCCCCGCTATACCTGAGCTATAATTAGCTCGTAGAAACCATTAATCCTGCAAATATTTTCGGTTTATAGAAAGTATATAGTTTATAGAAAGTTTTATACAGCTGGTAGTTATATAATGGGAAAATCGGTCATTTACCGAATGGAAATGTCTGGATTTTCTCATAAACAAGGTCACCCATGAGCCACGTGGGTAGGACGCTTATTCCTCCTATCTTCACTCATCAATCAATGGGAATCACACTTTTCATAACGAAAAGTGTGAACAACGAATCAACTTCCTTCGTTCAATACTTACACACATACCGAGCTTTCCTTCGTAAGTATATAAGAGCGGACAGTTTGAATTCTAGAACAGTACAAAAACAATTCACTTCCAGATTAGTACATATCCAGTTCTCAATACGAGACATCCAGTACAGTATATTACCAGTACGAGTTCAGTTCAACCAGAATACGCTTACATGTCAAGACTCCTTCGAAGACCACATAACTACCCGTACTCAATCTCGGTCTTCAGATCACACTGCATATCTACTCGGATTCTCTAATGTCAGAGCAATCCATTTCTTC